ACGCAGACCACCTGGTTTCTGAGCATAAATCAGCAGTAGGAAGGGAAATCAGTTTCTAGAGCGAACTCTGGGTGTGTCGTCTCATTTTTCTTGTTCCTACCTTCTCAGTGGCCCTTCATGGTCTCGCTCCGCTATATTTAACTGAATGTTGACGGTACATCACCCCAGCTGACATAGGTCCCAGTATAAACAGTCAGGCGATCGTTCCTTTGTCTTTACCGCACCTAAAATGTTAAACAATCTGCCCCTCGGTCTGCGGGTTCTCACTGATCTGCACTTTTTAAAGTCCAGATTAAAGACTTATTTTTTTAAACTGGCTTTTAATACTTAGGACACATTGTTTTATGCTTATGATTTTAGTATGTTTCTTTTCTTCTTTTATCTTTCTGTGAAGCACTTTGGTCTTCCTGGTACGGAAGAGGATTAGGGCCACTGAAAAAAACAAAAATTTAACTGATTTTTAAATTTTATTTCAGTTTAAAATGGGGAAAAAAAGTCAGAATTCTGACTTTAATCTCAGAATTCTGACTGAATTCCGACTATAAAAAAGGCAGAATTCTGAGATTAAAGTCAGAATTCTGACTTTTTCCCATGTTAAACTGAAATGAAAATAAAAAAATCAGTTAACTTTTTTTTTAGTGGCCCTAATCCTCTTCCGTATCCTGGTGTTGTTATAAAGTGCTATATAAATTAACTTTGATTTGAGATAAAAACGCCACACGGAGCATGTACAGCTTCATCAAAGCTAATCTGTGACTCAGAGATTGATCAGTACCCCATTCTTGTGCAGAAGCTTATTTCTAACCCTCTTGGTCTCTAACTACAACTCATGACCTTAGCTGAGGGTCATAACAGAAGCTGAGAGCTCATTGGTCACCCTGAAAGACAAAGTCTGCACCTTTTACAGTGAAGAGCAGTGGTTTCATTCACACACCTGAAAATGGGTCATAACCTGTGTTGATCAAACCAACAAAGAAATTATTTATTCAACACAAATAAACCATTATCGACATCCACATGAAATTCTACTTCATGCAGATGCAGCGTAAGAGTTGTTCAACAGCAAAGCAGAAGTAATTATGTAGATTATCAACACCATTGTCTGATGGCCTTGATGTTTTCTTTCAATCGAGGCATTCATTTGAATCAAAGGTTTTATAGTTTCTGATTAAACTGCTGCAGCAGGAGATGATGTTTAGGGTTTTCAACTGGGTCATACCTTCAGTTTAATGTAGAGGAGATGCTTCTTGACCCCGGTGGACTTCATGGTCCTGTAGATATCATCGGGGGTTATGCTGTTCACTCGGAGCTTCTGAAGCTTCCTGCTGCGGTCAGACTTATATATGCAGATTTTTTTATCGTCTCCGACGAGCTGAGGGAAGGTGACCCTCAGCAGCTCTAGAAAGTCGGCCTCCTGCAGACCTCGAGGACATTTCAGCTCCCGCACCGATGACTTGTGGAGCTCTGAAACACAGAAGGTCCTCAGTAGCAGAACGTTAAACTACCGGGACATGAGGAAGAGTTTTATACGAACCGGTCTCTGCGGGAGCCTCTAACTGAAGGTTCTCCAGAACGCAGATTCTGAGAAAGTGGTGGGTTGGTTCTTCACCGTGCCGAGGTCTACCCCGCCGCCGCTTCTGAGTCTGATCGTCGGGCGACGATAACCTGAGGGAGACAGGTGGGGTACGGACACATCATGAAGCAGCCAGGCAATGGAGGGAAGCTGACCTGCTGATCCTCATCACCTCATGCTCTGCTCATCTTGGTCCGACGAAGGCGTGGCAGAGCTCACGCTCGGCCCCTCCTCTACTGGCTGAGGCAAGACCCCATCGCTGCTGCTCTGAGGATAGACCGCCGTCTGCACATGGTCACACAAGAGAAACTTCTCAAACACACACGGCGTAGGACGGTTTAAATATATGATTCAAATAAATGTGCTTTAAGACCCAGAAATGGAAGGTTTGAATTCTCCCGAGTGGTGCACGACTTTACACGAGTGAATAAAGTGA